TACGCAAAGGAGGCTCCGGGAGGGTCCGCCACTACCTTTGAGGGCCTACATCAGCTGTAGGGCCCCAACACCAAGCAGAGCTTGAGGGTTGAAATGACGCTCGAACAGGCATGCCCGCCAGAATGCTGGCGGGCGCAATGGAGCAAGAAACGAATTCAGAGAGGTTGAAGGCGTGGGTCATTGATACGGTAGACTATGGTTTGCGCCAGAGCTCCTGTCGTGCAATGTGGGACCTCAGGACGTGGTACGCCAATCTACGGACAAGTGTTGGTGCCACTGAGAGGGAACAGCAGACTGCAGCACGGCGTAAATACCAGACAGCTACGAAGATCCTTTCTAGTGTGCCTAAGGATTTCGCGGGATGGATCACCTCGTGGGAGATGGCCACCAACCATGCGCTTGTGAGAAAAACCGGAGGAGTGGAAGACCCCAACACCTGGTTTGAAGATTTGACGAGAGCCATCCAGCCAATATTCGGCGGTTGGGTCACCATATACGCTGGAATCTACAAGGTCAAGCTTGAGGAGAAAACATTGACGATTGGGGAGGTCGCGAAGGACCTCAGGAAGGAGGCCGAGCGAAGGGATCTCCTTGGCCTTCAGGAGAAGGGATCACGACTCACCAGAGGCGTGTTTGGCCCGACCTTTGCAGCAGGCCAAAGCCAAAGCATGTTACCTCAGCTAGAGGCTACACCAAGCAATGAAGAAGGCGACACACAGACCCGAAACCAATCTACGGGCCGGAAGCGTAAGCGCGCATTCTCGCCAGGGAGCCCCGATGTGGTCTGCAAGGCCTGTGAAGGTGCTCATGGGCTGGAAAACTGCTACTATGTGTTTCCGAAGAAAGCCCCAGCATACTTCAAGGGAAGAAAGCTGATACGTGACGCGGTTGACCATCGCGTCAGAAATGATGCGTCTTTGAAAGATGAGATCAGCCGCATTAAGAGAGTTAAGCCAGTCGAGGAGATGGATTGACTAGGAAGGAACGTCGGAGAGTGTGGAGCTAGCTTCATCTCATCTAACCTGACACTCCCTAGCGCGCTTTATCCGCTGAAGAACTCGGCTCTGCTCGACTCAGGATCAACGATCCATATCTTCAACAATGTCGATCGGTTCAATCACTACCGAAAAGGAGACCTTGGAGACTTCGTTCTAGCTGGAAAGCAAAGAGTACCGATTCAAGGATACGGGAATGTAGACATCCGTACTGAAGGACCTGGGGGCTCGAGAATACTCCGACTATATGACGTCGCCTTTTGCGAGAATTTCCCATGCAACCTGGTATCGCTTCGGCGACTACAGAAACGTGGATACTGGTGGGATACTCGTCCTGCGTGCAACTACCTACGGTCAAGGGACGACACTATTATCTGCAAGTTGGTGGATCGCCATGATCAGTACGTTATCGAAGATGTGCCTCTGAACACCACAAAAGGTGTATTTGTCACGCGGAGGCACAAGTTCAACTCCTGGACCGAGCGACATGCTGTGAAAGCAGACGCATTACGATGGCATCTTCGCCTCGGACACCCCGGTCCGCAATCTCTAGAACGCCTCGTCAACACCTCAAACGGAGTACGAATCAAGGGACCTACTACCGTCGAGTGTGACGGATGCGCGTTATCCAAGATCAAACGTCAAGTGCATCGCCAGCCACGAAATACAGGACAAGGACCCGGCGAAAGATTGGCAATCGACTTTCATGACCTACCCAGAGATCCAATAGGGAGGAAAAGCGTGATGTTGATAACGGACCGCTGGTCTGGAATGATTTGGGATTATTACCTGGCAGAAAGAAGCCTGAGCACAATCGATATAGTGCTCGAGAACCTGTTCGGCATTCTTCAACGGCAGTTCCAAGTCAAACCAAAGGCCGTGGAATGCGATAACGAGATTCTGAAAGAAGGAATTGTCGCTTCCTCGTTCCTCCACTCGCACCACATCAAGGTCGAACCATCAGCACCCAACACCCAGGCCCAAAACGGTGGAGCTGAGGCATCAGGTAGAGCAATTAAGATGAAAGCGCGGGCCATGAGAATGGGAGCACGACTTCCCGAACATTTATGGGTTGAGATATATCGCGCAGCGGTGTACTTGTACAACCGAACGCCAAAATACATGTACAGCTGGCGAACACCGTACGACCGATTCCATACAGCTCTCGCACACAGAGACGGAATCGTGGTTCAAGATCGAAAGCCACATCAGCAACACCTACGCGTCTATGGGTGCAAAGCATACGCCATGACCTCAGAAGCTCAGCTGCGACAAAGGAAGAAACAAAAGTTGAACCCTAAAGCATGGATTGGATTTCTCGTTGGATACCAGTCAACGAATATATATCGCATCTGGAATCCACAGACAGGACGGATCATTGCGACAAGAGATGTCATCTTCAACGAAGATGAACTTTTCAACGGAAATATCAACCAACTAAGAGATGATATCCTTCACATTGGGCAGCAACAGCTAATTGATTTACTCAAGCAGGTAGAAGAACCAGAGACAGACCGAAACGCTACGACGGAAGAAGACCTGAGCGGTGCCGTTATACCCGAAACATGGGATGGCCTTCAAGGAGAGGACGAGAGCGTCGCAACCTGGCTCAGTCGGGAAGACGCCGCTCCCCAAGAAGAGGAAAGAGATGCGGGAGCTGAACAGTTGGAGGCTGAGTCTGATCAACCAGCTGGCACCGACGAAGGCTCTGGAACATCCGGGGACGTGGAAGTCGATCAGGGGAAACCAGAAGGCGGCTCGGAAGACCAGGCAGAAGCCGGCACCGATGACCAAGCCAAGAATTCTGATGCCCAAAGTCGTCCGTACCTGTCCCCTGTGTCTCTTCCACCGACGGCACTTCTAGTCATGGCGATTCGGGATGATGTAAGTCGATCAAGAGTTGAGACTCGCAGATGCGACAACAACAAAGACGTCTTCGAAGTATGGAAAGCAGCCTTCTCTGCTGGACGTCAAGCCACACTAGTCGGCTTGATGGATGGCAAGAAGATTGACAAGGCTAAGCTCCAGCGACTCCTCAAAAACCCCGACAGTTTACATCGAAGGCAAATGCCCCCACTACCACGGAGCCACGCAGAACTCAGGCAACATCCTATGGGAACGATCTTTGAGGCGGCGGAGCAGGAACACTTGCGCAGCCATTCCGAGATGAGATCCTGGATCGAGATCAATCGACAGGACTCCCGGGCAAAGGACTGTCAAGTCCTAGACTGCATGTGGGTTTACGTATATAAGTTTGACAAGCATGGACGGTTTCAGAAGGGGAAGGCGCGTCTTGTCGTCAGAGGAGACCAACAGGCCAAGCCCGTCAATGAGGAGACATACGCCGCGACACTAGCTGGACGATCCTTCCGCACGCTGATGGCGATTGCTGCACGCTTCGATCTCGAGCTCATCCAATACGATGCCGTCAATGCGTTTGTGAACGCAAGATTGGACACAGACGTTTTCATGCGGATGCCACCAGGCTATAGGAAACCAGGAACTATCCTGATGCTCCAGAAGGCACTGTATGGCTTAAGAGAGTCGCCCCTTCTGTGGCAGAGAGACCTCACGGCTACCCTGAAAGAGATCGGATTCGAGTCCGTGCCACACGAACCCTGCTGCATGACCAAAGGAAGTATCATCATCTTCTTTTATGTTGATGATATCGTCCTGGCATACAAAAAGCAGAAGGAAAACGAGGTTCAGAAAGTCACAACAGAACTACGAAAACGTTACGAGCTGACGGGAGGAAACCCACTGCAATGGTTCCTCGGAATCGAAGTTCTCCGGGATAGGAAGAAGAACCTGATCTGGCTATCTCAGTCTGATTATATTGACAAGATCGCTAACCTTGCTGAAGATATAGATCAGCGACACGATGTTCCCATCAGACGCGAAGAGCTACGCCCATACGAGCCACGGGCAGTCGTTGCGTCTGTCCGGCGCTATCAACGGAAGATCGGCTCAATACTGTACGCCGCTGTTATTACGAGACCTGACGTGGCCTTCGCAGCGTCAAAACTTGCCAGGTTTAGTGCAAACCCGGGACCTGAACATCACAAGGCTGCCGATCGAGTACTTCTTTACCTCAGGAAAACAGCGTCGCTGGCCTTAACGTTTGGCGGAAGCGACGAGTTCATCGTGGCGAGCGATGCTTCATTCGCCGACGACACGGAGGACCGCAAGAGCTCTCAGGCATACGTCATGCGACTTTTCGGCGGCACCATCGGTTGGAAAGCAAACAAACAAGCAACTGTCACTACTTCACCGACCGAGGCCGAGCTACTCGCTCTTGCGCAGGCAGCCAAGGAGGCTATGTTCATCTCTCGGCTACTTGCAGAGCTTGGAGTACAACTGGACGAAGAACGCATACGAATCCAATGTGACAATCTCCAGACGATACAGTTAGTCAACAAGGACATCAGGAAAATGCAGACCAAACTCCGACACGTAGACATACACAATCATTGGTTGAGACAAGAGGCGCAAATGAATAGGATCAAGGTGGAATATCAGCCTACTACGAACATGATCGCGGATGGGCTCACCAAACCGATGCACCATGCGTCATTGGAAAGATTTGTCGAACAAATTGGTTTGGCCGATATCTCTACGCATCTCAAGAGAAGAGAACTGCCAGGACTGGAAGAAAGAGAACTCTTGAGTAAGATGGGGAAATTGGATCTGGATCCAGCCGACGCACCAGTCTCTGCCTAAGCGGCTTCAACTGGGGGGGTGTGTTGGATTAACGACTGTGTCTGGATAAAGGGATGCTAGAAATGCATTGAATAATATGCAAGAACCGGTGATGATGGGTAAATACAAGACAGAACCCCGCTCGGACCTGGATAGGAGGAAATCCCTCAATCAAGCAGAACAATCACCTTTTGATCAATGGACCTCAGTGGTATTGCATTAAATCAACATCGTTTGTCTAACACAAGATGCTTGACTCGGTTATGAAATGTGGACCTGGCAGATCCCCCATTGCTGCCCGAGCCTAACTAAAGTAACATAGTAGATGGCGTCGTGGCGTGCTCGGATATGATATCTTCTCGCTTAGAGCGATTTCTTGTAGTTGGGTGACGGTTTGTCAGTATGGCCAGCGGAATATGCATGTATGTGAGCAG